GGCTCCTCTAGGCCACCGAACTTCGTATTGCGGGCATTTCCGCGTACCTAGCCAGGTCGCCAGGTTCTAAATTCCGCCTTCGTACGAGCGTCCTCGTACTCCCGCCGAGCGTAATCGGCAGCCTAAGTCCTTATATCGCGTTTATTCACCGGAATTTCAAATCCGTAATCCGTCCGGCAGGCAAAACCGCGTCGACCAATCCGCGCCGCCGAATAGTCCGCATCGATCTACGATCGAACAGACTCGGGATACTCTACGAACGCATTCACCGACGAGCGTTGCGTTGTACCAACCGTTGCGACACGATCGCCCGCGCTTGCGCTCTCGCCGACCGTACCAGGACGCCTCGCGTCATATTTTATTTTGCGCCGCTCTAAAATAATTATTTCACCGTTGCTCAAATAATTATTTCGCTATTGCCGATACTTCGCATTTATTTCCACGTTACTTTCTCATTTATTTTACGCCGCCTAAATAATTATTTCTCACCATCGCTCAAATAATTATTTCACTATTGACGATACTTCGCCTTTATCTTCACGCTACTTCATATTTATTTGACGCCGCTTTAAAGAATTATTTCTCTGTCACTTATTAATTATTTCACCGTTAATACCGATCGCACCGATATTTTGCTATTTTGTATTCTCTTTCGAATTCATTTCGCACACGCTTCGCATGTACACCAGGTCACACAAATGCCTTGACATATGAAGTTGCACGGGTGTCAAGGCATATCGAGTCGGCGTGTTTCGACTCTACATATTTTTACATCATGACTATGGTTATAAACACAACGGCAAAGCTGTTTTGACTGTTTCAAAGCAACTGGAACAATTGACAAATAAAGGTTAATATTTATAATATCAATCAATTGCTCCAGTTGTTTTGAAATAGCCAAAACAGCATTGCCGTTATGTTCATAACCAGTCATGATGTAAAAATATGTAGAGTCGGAACACACCGACTCGATATGCCTTGACACCCGTGCAACTTCATATGTTAAGGCATTTGTGTGACCTGGTGTACACACGAGCATTAAAGCAGATCATTCGAAACAAATCATATCAACATCTTTCTTAATAAACACTGTTTCATTACTTTAACACAAACGAGCATTTATTTATTTCCCTGACATACCCCCAACCGACCGAACCCGGATTCCGGCGAGCTACTCCGCGTCCGCCGAAGCTCACACGGTTTCAACTTAATTAATTTAATTTTTTAATTTAATTTTTTAAGTTTACAAACACATAAAATTGAGAGAATCTTAAATAAGGTCCAAAATTTTGAAAGTTTTTGGTTATTATATATAATTTTGTTCCACAATTCCTTATCAAAGAAATTCAGCAGTCTTATAATTTGCTGGATAATGGGTATCCCACGCATAGTAAGATCCCATCAAACAAAGAGTGGATTTGCAACAGTTGGATTATCAATTTTTATTTTTATGATATTATCGATACAAATAAAAACTGATACTAATTTTCTCTCTTCTTCGAAAAATATGAGACGGGGAGAATCAGTCTTTTTGGTTATTAAAACTTTTTCTCAGACTTTAAATGCCTGTTACCAAAAAACAATGAATTAAATATTCATGCCAAAAATTTGTAACTTATAAAAAGAACAAAAACGAAATAAATTTAAAGATGTAAATAAAAATGCACAAATATACATCATATATTAAATATCATAAACATACATCAAATACGATAAAAAGCTCGTTAGAGTAGCTTGTCTTCTTGTACATGAAATTCTTAAAAAATGCGATAATCCTTTTATTTTTTCTATTTCGAAAACATGTTCAACAGATGTTGAAATACGTGGCTAATTTTATGTCATAATGATAAAATCTTGAAACTTTAATTTTGGTCGTCCTTAGCAACGCCTCTCAATGCACTTCACAATTCATCGGAATATATTATATATTATATAATATATTCCGATATATTTATATATTTATATTTTGTTTTTCAGCGTGTGGAGAAAGTAAAAAGTTTAACTATTATAGTAAAACATCTTTTTCCGTTTGAAGAAAAACAGTAAACACTTTTGAGTGTTTTCAATATTTTAAACACCAGGGTATTTAGATTTAAAACACTAAAATATTTAAATCCGAAACATCTTTCATCATTAAACGCTTATTTTGGAAAAAACGTTTTAACTTTCTTTTATGAGTGTATTGGTGTGTAATGGTTTAAGTAATGGTGTGTTCATTTAGTTGTTGTCTCTTTTTTCTTAAAGAGTTTTGCCACAAACGATTTTCAAACAATGCCATGAAAAGACCAATCGAAAGTTAGCGCTGAAACTACTATAAAAATAAAAAATAAAAAGATAAAATGATTGCTCTCGAATAGCTGTTTTGATATACACGATTGCTCCACTTAATTAATTAGTACTTATAAAGTTATTAATGAAAAACAGTCACTAATTAACAATTAGCAAATATCTTTATCAAAACTTTTTTTTTTTTTAATCGGTTACTACCAAACGATTGCTCCTTAAGGGGGGAGCTTCGTATGATTCGCTAAAACAAAGGTGATTTTTAGGAATTTTTTTTGAAGAAACAATGCAACGAATCTTTTTAAAACTTTTTGGTGTTTTATAACATATTAAAAAGTAAAAAAAAATTTTTTTTGTTTAAAAATAATTGATTATAGAGCCACTATAAACAAATGTTGACGCAGTCTCGTCACTGGAGTTGTGAATTGGCGGGAGTTGTAGCGTCTTTTGCACTCGTTTAAAACTAAAAAAAAAAAGTTTTTTTTTCTATGAAATTATCTAGTCGATGAACCTAAAAATAAGTAAAAAGTTGAAAATTTAAAAAATGGCAACACTTTAAAAAAAATGCGATTTTGACCCACAAAATGTCACCTTATTTATGCAATAATAATTGTTTAAATTAATTATTTTACTAATTTTATAGGTTCATCGACAATTTATATTATTAAACTACATGTATACACGGGGACAACTCGATTGATCGAATAGTTTTTGAGTAATCTTTCCCCCAATTGCCAAAAACTGGTTTCGAGAAAAACGCGTTTAAAGTTTTCGGTATTGAAAAGTAAAAAAGAAAAGTGTAACAACAAGTTTAAAACTGAGGCTCCGATTTCCTGCTTCTTCGAATTTCACACTTTGCTTGCACTCTCCAAATTGCACTCTCAAATAAGTACTTCAGAAAACGCGCCAAAAACAGTTACAAATTCTATAATCTTATATCTTATGGTACCGTTGACCAAGCGCCCCGCCGCGCGCTTGTATATCTGCGCGCAAGAAATGGGCTGTGGACTCCTTAAAACTTCGAATTTTGTTTTGTAACTTTGGGAATATATTTTCTACATGGATTACTATTGATTAAAACAAAAAAAATTTTCAATTTTTTTAACCGGTTACACGAGGCTCCCCCCTTAATCGCTCTATTCATTTCCAATCATAGATTGTTCATTTTTGTTGAATTATTAATATAAAATTCAATAAATGTTAATTACGCAATCAGTGTTGCCAACCATTGAACGCAAAATTACTTCTAATGTATCAAAAAGTACTAGAATTGAAAGCATTGTAGTAAAATTACTTCTTTTAATTTCTAATGCATCAAAAAGCACTCGATTTTTGCAAAACAAACTTCCGGAAGTTATTCCTAAAGACTAATTAACTAACGGTTTACCTTTACAATCTAAACAAGAAAAAAATAATAAAATAAAGAACAATAATAATAAATGACAATTTATAATAAAATAGAAACATCGCAGGTAAAAAATTAGACAAATAAGTAAACATAAATTATTAGCAGATTTCAACCCTAACCTAACTTTAGCTTCCTGTCCTAACTTCCTGTCCTAACCATAATTTTTCACTTAACAAAATCCAACTGTTACGGCGTTGCAGTCATATTGTTTAGTACGAAATTATAAAACCCGCATCAGAATATGTATTAAAGATTGAGATTAAAGACTGAAGATCAAAAATTGATCAATCAGAATAAAAGAAATTAAAATTTCTTTTTTCGCTAATACAGTTCTGTGATTGGCTTGCAATATCTGAACTGTGCTTAAGACGGTCTTCAATATAAGGCCCTATCCAGCAAACTTGCATAGTCGCATAAACATATGCATAAGGAAATTATTGGACCATTTCTTTATGCATTTGCATATGGATTAATCAATTTTTTTATGCATATGTTTATGCGACTGTGCAAGTTTGTCTGGATAATGCTTGGTGCGCGACAAGACGCGATAATTAATCAATTTATCGTTCCTATAGAAAAATTGTAAGTTGATTAGCTACCGCGTCGTCTTTTGCCACGCGACAAGCGATACGTCGTTCCATCTGCAGAAGTAATTATGAAAATTATGGAAATTAAAAAATTATTTTTTTTTTCGGGTTGTTATGGAATAATTTATTAATATTATATAATTTTTCCAAGAATAAAATGCATTTAAAAAATTTTTTCTTCTTGGTAACCAGTTGTCAAACCTTGATTGCCAGTTGTCAAAACTGATGACGTAATAAAACAATTGAATGGTATTAATGATATATGTATATTATTGAATGATATTTAGTTTTTGCAATAAAGTCTTTACTTAAGATTGTACAAAGTTTTAAGAGTCTTAAGGAGTGGTATATTGTTTCCTATCAAATATGCCAAGTAGAGCTGCAGTGAGTAATTATCAAATTATTGAGGTTCTCAGTAATTTTGATATTATTAGTGTAGGATTCGGAGGGCGTGTTACATTTTTTTTTGTTGCCGTTCAAAAGATTATTATTTAGAATGCGCGTGATTATATTTTGTTTATGAGGCGGACGATGGCGCTGAGTCGAGCGAGCAAGCTAAGCGAGAGCGGTTGTAAGACGCGAGAGAGTTTGCTTCCGAGTGCTAATTTTTTCTGTTAACTTCGCTTCCATTCGTGCATACTTGTATTGCTAATTAACATATATCAAATACATTACTGATTATTATTAATAACGAAATAATCATTAATAGAAACCTACAATTTGGGGACTCAGCCGGGATACGAGTAGTAGCACGTGCGGAATCGATGTGTGAAGACGAACAGTGCGTAATAAGACGAATACACAAGACGAGACGAACACGTGAAGACGAACAGTGCGTGGTAAGACGAAGTATACGAGACAAGACGAGACAAACACGTAAGGACGAACAGTGTGTGTAGACAAAGTATACGAGTTGAGACAAAGCGAACACACGAAGACGAACAACGCGTAAAGACGAACAGTGTGTGATAAGACAGAACGAGTATACAAGGCCAAATAAAGAGTAGCCCAGGGAATAAAGGTGTGTGTGAACTATTAGTGCGAATAGCGTGTGAAAATCACGTGGCGGGCATAGCCACCGGCATGAAGTAAGATATAAGGAGACTCCACTCATGCTAGCCAGCCCGCGGAAAATGAGTCAAGTTTGCATCGAAAGTTAAAGTTCCGATTTTCGCCACTCGCAGCGCTTGTAAACTATTAAGTGTGTGCATAAAGTGCGTCGCAGCAAGAAGAAAGACATATATGTGAGAATAATATCTTCCTTTCTGACAAATATACGCGAATTTATTTTGCAATGCCATTCTGTTGTATTGTGCCTGATTGCAAAACTGGGTATATTAAGAGCGTGTATCAAAATAAAATCAAGAAGAAGCTGAGTTTGTTCAGACCACGTACAGTAAGTTTGTAATAATTTTAATTAAATATGTCGAAAAAATATATATTAATGTATATGAATATATATTTTGTATTTAAAAAAAATATTTACAATAATTTAAAAAACATTTTTTATTCGTAGGATGATATGTTACTGAAGTGGCGGCAGGTAATCTGTCGTCCTGAAACAAAACCATTATTAAAATCCCATGGCGTTCGTGAATTACATTTTAAAGAAGAGGACATTGAGAGATACTATGTTACTAGGTTGAGTAATGGAAGTATTTTTAGAATGCTAAAAGGTAAACTGAGTCTAAAAGTAGAAGTTGTGCCTTCTGTGTTACTAAATAGTGATGTAGGTACGAGTCGTCCTTTAACGCCTGTTTATGAGTGCGAACTTGGAAACACACACGCACGCGCGCGCGCGCGCACGCACACACACACACACACACACACACACACACGCGCGCGCGCACACGCACACACACACACACACACTGACACTACGCGCACACTAAACTAGAGTTCCTATAAGTAGAGTTGTGCCAATCCAGATTTTGTTCCCGGAAGCCACGTGACATTCATCGACGCGCAGAAAATTTAAAATCGTTGAATGTAGATTTGAATGATTTATATAGTCCTTATACATTACTTTATGTCCTTTAGACATATTAAAGTAACATCAAACTTAATTCCTTCACTGTGGAAGCAATATTGTCAAATTAGATCAAAAGTGTGTAGAAAAAACGGTTCAGTGGACATTTACAATACTTGCTATACTTATTTGCTATTTATAATATTTGTTATTTTATTTACATTTTTATGCAAAAAAGGACATGAAATCATTAAATAATGTAATATTATTAAAAAGTTTATTTTTTATGTACACAATATTTTACAAATGAAAATATATTCACATATATATTCATACTTGCCATCTATTTGCAGTTATGAAATTCATTTTTTGATCCTTTCGTATGTGTACTCTGCATAATTGAGCTCGGGTAATTTCAAACTGGCTGGTATAGATTCATGAATAAATGATTTTTCTAAAAAAAAAAGAATACATTTAGGCCTGATTACACCAACATTATTTTGATTTTTATCAAGACTTAATATGTGTCTATTTATTTATAAAGAAAATAAAAATATACACATATTTAAGTCTTGTTGAAATCTAAACTAATGTTGGTGCAACCTGGCCTTAGTAATTCTATTTAAATACATTTTTAATTACGTTTTTGTAAGTATATAATAAATAAAACATGCATTGTTTTAAAACTGGAAATTGCACTTTTTTACGCAATAAAACATTACAAACGATAACACTTAATAAACATGACAATACTTAAAGAAATTACAAACGATCACAATTTATAAACATAACAATTAAAACTTAAAGAAATAACATTACTTAATATTATGATGCATCGCCATCGTTTTGCTGGATTGGGTGCAATTTTTATTAACGCGAATCTTTTTAGAATTAATTTTTAGCCTAAACCCTGCAAACCTGGATGCTATTTTATCCTTTAAGTTATGGCACTTTGGTAAAAAGTGAGAACATTCTTTAAATTTAACAACCATAAAGTTATGTATATTAATGTTACTTCTGGAAAGAGAACTATTATTATAACTTCTAAATATTTTCTCCATTTCAATGAAGAAGTCAAATGTCACGTTGTTAATAAAAAATAATGTATCCTCTTTATAACATTTTATTATTGTTAATTTACTGTAGTGCCTTAATTTTTGTCTACGACTGCCAAGACATTGGATGCATTGTTTGCAAGCTCTATTAGTTTATATAATACTAGTTTTTATAATACTAGTAATAATGTAATCGGCGACATTATATAAAATATTCATTTCAATATTACTTAAAGTTATATCTTTGGGTAACACGTCAAGTACTGGCAGCTGCTTATTGAGCGTTTCGTTATCACAGTCTTTTTTCATGTTTCGCAAAATTTGAAAGAAGTCGGGCAAGAATTCACGATCATCTTCATCATAATTGCTAGAGATTTTTCGCATGTGTTGCAAAATAGTTACTAATTTTAAGTTACTTTTTAATTGTAGAGCATTTAATGTACAATGTTTTGAACGAAAAACCGCAAACAAGTTTTTGATGCAATCCTGTGTGAATCGCATAAAACGAATTTATAATTTCCTTCTTCAAGTATTTTGACAGTTCAATACACGAAAGTGTCGATATAATAATACCTTTTTGAAAAGGCTTCAAATCTGTTTTTGAACCAAAAGTTAATAAAGAAATTAAATCAACAAATTCGTACAAAAACTCTATTGTTTCTATATATTTTTTGTCGTGTTTGCTAATAGCAAAAGTGAGGCTTCGAGAACTAATTATCTTAAACCATCGTGCAATTTGTGCAACCAACCAAGCAGTCATCTTGTATTCTTCTCGATTATGTTCAACAGCTAAATAGTTAAGCGCTGAGCTTACATCTCGGCTCAAAACATTGTATGCATTTTTCACCCTCATTTTTAGAAAGTGTTTGGACCTATCTAAATAATCTTCTAGCAATTTTTGGTGCTAATGACAATTGTAAATCTTTCTGCGCATTAATTAGTTCCGTAAAATGTTTCGAACTTAATGTGTTTGTTGGCAAGTTATATTTATCAACAAATTTCGCAGGAATAGTAACATTTACGTGATTCAATGCCTTCTTTTAAATTCTCAAGTGCATGGCAAACATTATGAAAGAAGAAAAGGTGTCGCCCTTCATTTAATGGATGCTCACATTTATTTTGTACCGTCGAATATCGAGAAACATTAATGTTAAACGATTTCCACATTGCCTGGTTCGGAGCACTCATATCGGATACGATACTCTGGACACGCAATCCTATTTTGTTAGCTTCCTCAATAATATTTAAAATTATTGACTTATAAATCGATCCGTTTGTACTATTACCGGAATAAAAATATGCCACGGTTTGTTTCCACCTTTGAGCAACACCTGCAAGCATAAATACTAGGCCATGTGTCGCTTCATTGTTACTATTATGACCTGGCAAAGTTACATTACCTACGTACGTATTCGGGACGTATCAAACCATTTCCCCGGAGAAATGCTAATTTCGTCAAGAACAATGCAGCAATCTTTATCTATGTCGTTTTTAAACTGTGAAACTTTTATACGTAAAAACTCGAAAATTTCCGTAGACAGTCCGCTTTGAAATTTCCATTTTTCTAAGTTTCTATGCAAAGTTCTAAGAGAGGGAAGCCTGAAGTACCGCATGCAAATTTTAATTGATACGCTTTAACTAAAGTACTATCACACCACTTTGGCATTCTTTTATACTGAATTTTTAAGAAATTTTTTTGATCAGAATTAAAAAGTCTATTATTAAATCCGTTTGAAGATACATACGTACGTACAATTTTTTTCAGTTTCATAATTTTCCTCTTCATAATGACTTGCAATCGGTTGTGATTTTTTTTCATTAAAACCCTCGATCTTTCACTTTTTAAATATAGTTTCTCAAGTTTTTTGTACTTCTCTGCCATACCACAATTGCAGATGTTGCGAATTTCTTCTGTGCAGTTAATAATTCGACTTCCTGTTTATGTACACTTTCATCGTTGCTAATGATATCGCATTCATTTTCCTCCAGAGGTACATCTTCCGATAAAAAAGTCTGCTTACTGGAAGCATGAATATTAGTACATGTCTCTTGGTGCTGTGCATCCACTTCCTTATTTTCCTGTTGTACATTGTTAATTTCATTTTCATTTGATGGTGCTAAGTGTGCCAATAAAGATTCCTGCATAGGCTCTGTACTCTCGTAATGTCTGGTTTCATCACATTGAGATAATATCACAACGTCTTTACTTGATGGATCTGTATATACTAATATCGGTGAGTGCTGTGTAGACCTCGCATTAGATCTATGCTCTGTAAAATACAATATTACCTTTCATTACAATAACCCAACAAATCAAATATTTCATTTATCATCATACCTGAAGCTCTATTATTTTGCATTTGCATGATAGCATGTCCAAATATTATTGGTATAGCGTGCACTTTCAATTTCTTCTTTCCATCAACACGCTCCTTTTCCCACATGTTTGCTGGAAAATGGTACTATAAAATAAAAGGAGAAAATTAAAATAGAATAGTTAAATAAAATAGAATAGTGAAATACATAATCGCATAAAAATAAACCATCTTTTATTGGTAACTTTAGTTCAATATTTTTTGTCCACACTTCTCGTCGTTGTGGATTCTTTGGAAAACGGTGCATTTTTGTGCCATGTCTTGAATGACTGCGACATCCTGGCGCTGCACAACTCGGCATTTCCTTCTGTAATTATTATAAATACATTTTATTATGTACATATGTATGCATTAACAAAACTGTCACTTTGAGGTTAGATTTCTATTAGTAGTTTATATGCAGAAAAATGAATTCCGTCAAATATTTATCGCACGATATATATCAGTTTTTTTTAAATTAAAACGTACTTACCGTTGCTTATAAAAATAAATTGGTCAAATTGCAACCAGTCCGACACAAAGTTATCAACAAACTGAACTGTGATGACGTATTGAAACGGAAACATGGGAACAAAATGGCGTAACCAATCACAGAAGCAATCATGATTGGCACAACTCTACTTATAGGAACTCTACACTAAACAGTTCACAAGCGCTACAAGTGGCAAAAATTGGAACTTAAACTTCGACGTAAACTTGACTTATTCTCCATTTACGGAGTGGAGTCTCCTTATATCTTATTTCATGGACACCGGTGAACATAGACGTGGCAACCGGAAATACGGCCATTAAAAGCATCGATTATCGATCGATTCCTACTTTATCAAGCGGATTTATCGACCGACCATGGAGAGGTTAGGACAAATCTCTGTCATCGCTGCCAAAATCAAATCAGCATCGTCGAAAGTTATCAAAACGTTCCATACTTTAGTTTTCGGAAACGAAGGTGATAAGGGTAATCGAAAAAGACTGTTGGAATTTCGAGGATTTGAATTTTCAGCCGATACAGACGAACTTTCAGTTAAAATGAGACAGGTATCTCAGCAATTAGGTGTTGGTGACCTGGTGTCCATCTGCAATATATTAGCTATGGATTATACGAGCACAAAACAAGAAGTAATAAATCGTATTTGCAGCGGCCTGATGGATTTAAGCCAGCTAGCATGCGATGCAGAAGAAGAGGAGTTCGAGCACGACGACGAGGAAGACGATAGAAGCGAAGGACAGAACGATGACAGGAGTGAGAAGCAGGATGATATAGACCATTCAATCAAACAAGAAAGAAAAGGACAAGTGATGCAACAACAAGTGGTGCTGCAACCACAACATTTTTCTTTGAGCTACAAAGACGTGGAAAATGTTATTCGTACATTTGACGATACTGATGCCTATCCGGTGGAGCGCTGAATTAGTGACTTTGAAGACGCCGCCGTCTTATTTGGCTGGAGTGAAATATAAAAATTAGTATTTGCTAAGTGAACGTTGACTGGTCTCGCCAAGTTATTCCAAGGTGAGCGTGGTTTATATACGTGGAATCAATTGAAAGAGGCTTTGTTTCAGGAATTTGCCACTAAAGTTAACAGTGCTCAGTTGCACGAGGTATTAGCAACTCGCAAGAAGAAGAAGGACGAATCAATACAAGAATATTATCTTGCGATGAAGGAATTGGCTGCTAAAGGAAGTATCGAAGCTGATGCGTTAATGAAATACGTTGTTGATGGTATCACAGACGACCTCAATCATAAGCTGATACTATCTGGTGCTAAGACGCTGACGAATTTAAGGAGAAACTACGAGTGTACGACGACACGCAAAAGAGGACGGGAAAGCGGAATCCACTGTACAACTCGCATAAAAACAGTAGGAACAAAGGAGCTGAATCTACTGGGGCAACAAGTACACAGTAAAAGACTGAAAACCGAAAGAAGACCGAGGCGTCGAATAAGTCAAGCGTTTTGCGTTGTTTTAATTGCGGTGAAAGCGGTCACAAATCTAAAGACTGCGAATCTAAATCGTTAGGTACCAAATGCTTCAAGTGCAATCAATTTGGACATGTGGCGATAAATTGTAATAAGAGACGAGGCAATAATAGCAATAAGCCGACAATAGCCACCCCAACTAAAAATGTAAATAATATTGTAAATCTTACGGGAAATAGAGTCTATAAATTAGTCAAAGTAAAGGGAGTAAGCGTAAGTGCTTTAATAGATTCAGGATGTGAAGTTAATCTGTTCCGCGAAGATGTATATAAGCAGATAGGATTGCCGACATTAAAAACGACACAAATTTCTTTGAGAGGTTTTGGGAATGACGAAGTGTTTTCTTTAGGCTGTTTTGAGACGGTTATAGAGATAGATAACGAGGAACTTAAGCTAGACGTACATGTAGTGCCAAGTAACGCGATGCCGATGGTAATGATCATAGGTAATAATATCCTAGAGCAGGCTGAACTGACATTAAAGAAAGACGGAGTAACTGTTTCGAAAATTTCACGAGATGTTTTTCTGGGTCAAATTAAAGTAACGGCTGATTCTGAAGTCGATCTTAGTCATATCACTGATAAATCTATACAATCAGAAGTTACGAGATTAGTGACGTCTTACAATCCGAGAAAAACTAAAGATACTGACGTGACGATGACGATAGTTGTCAAGAAGGAGCGACCCGTTTATATTCGACCTCGCAGACTGCCTCCATCCAAGCGTGAAATTGTAGAAAAGCAAATCAAAGAATGGCTTAAAGACGGTATTATAGCATCATGCTCGTTTGAGTACGCGTTTGAGTCCTGTATTAGTCGTAAGAAAGAAAGATGGAAGTCCAAGAGTGTGTGTTGATTATAGAAAAGTTAACGAGATAATAATTAAGGATAGATACTTTTTACCTTTAATTGAGGATCAGCTCGATCGATTAAAAGATGCTAGGGTCTTTACTACTCTAAATCTGCGAAATGGATTCTTTCACGTAGCGGTTAATGAAGAAAGTTGAAAATACACCGCCTTTGTGACGCATAGCGGACAGTATTGTTTCCTAAAAGTACCGTTTGGATTATGTAACTCTCCGGTGGTTTTCCAACGGTTCGTAAATCATATTTTTCGTCCATTAATTAACGCGGGATTAGTACTTACCTATTTAGACGACTTAATTATTCCCAGAAATAATGAAAAACACGGATTAGAGAGATTGATATCTGTACTTCAAGTTGCGAGCAAGCATGGATTAGAAATTAACCTTAAGAAATGCCAGTTTATACATAAACGCGTCGAATTATCCATCTCCGGACAAAACAATAGCTGTGAAACGTTATTACGTCCGATGCCGCGTTCATTAAAAGATGTCAGAAGTTTCCTAGGCCTGACCGGATACTTCCGAAAGTTCATACCACATTATTCCACGATTGCTAAGCCGTTAAGTGACATGCTCAGAAAAGACGAAAAATTCGTATTCGATGAAGCACAAGTGCGCGCATATGAACTGTTAAAACGTTCTCTAACCGAAGACACGGTGTTAAAAATCTATCGACCAGAGGACGAGAAGTACACACTGATGCTAGTCAAGACGGATACGGTGCAGTGTTACTGCAGCGCTCTGGTGATGATAGACAGATGCATCCAGTTTACTACACTAGTCGGAAGACAACACCAGCCGAACGAAAGTACACCAGTTATGAGTTGGAGGTCTTGGCTATAGTGGAGGCCTTAAAGAAATTTAGAACGTACCTCTTGGGTATCAAATTTAAAGTAGTGACTGACTGCTCCGCTTTTCAGAAGACGCTTAATAAAAAAGACTTGGTGACGCGAGTGGCTAGGTGGGCACTCCTACTAGAGGAATATGATTTGACGGTGGAACACAAATCCGGCGCGAGAATGAAACATGTAAACACGCTTTAAGCCGATACCCCGTCATGTGCATTATCGACAGCGGTATAATCTCTAGAATTGCAAAAGCTCAAGAAGAGGACAATGAAATCAAGCTTATTATAGAAATATTGAAAGATCGCAAATACAAAGACTATTTTATGCGAATGGAATACTTTACAATTTTAGAGAAGGACGAGAACTACTGGTCGTACCACGGACAATGCAGCAAGAAATAATTCGAAACTCCCACGAGAGAGGACATTTTGCCGTAAAGAAGATCGAAGAACTGATTCTACGCAACTATTATATGCAAGAGTTAACAAAAAAGGTAGAAAGAGTTATCGCGAACTGTGTTCAATGCATATTATTCAATAAAAAACAAGGAAGACAGGAAGGATTTCTACATCCTATAGAAAAGGACTCTATACCACTATATACTTACCATGTGGATCATCTAGGGCCTTTAGAGACGACTAATAAAAACTACAATCACATTTTTGCAGTCATAGACAGTTTCACTAAATTTGTTTGGCTGTACCCTGTGAAATCTACTACTTCAAAGGAGGTCATAAGCAAGCTGGAATTACAGAAGTCCGTTTTCGGGAATCCGATGCAAATAATTTCAGATAAAGGCACGGTCTTTACTTCCAATGAATATTAAGAGTACTGCAAGAATGAAGGGATAAGATCTTTGTGTATCACTACCGGACTGCCTAGAGCTAATGGGCAGATAGAAAGACTCAACCGCACGATCATATCGGTAATTAGTAAGCTAGCGATAGAAGATCCGTCAAAATGATACAAGCACGTGAGTCGGGTCCAGCAGATTCTGAACGCCACGTATCATTGAAGCACAAATACAACGCCTTTCGAACTGATGTTCGGTATTAAAATGCGCGATAAAGCAGATCTGGAATTGAAGAACCTGATTGAGGAAGAGTTTAGGGAACAGTTCGAGTCCAATCGTAAAAATTTACGACAATCGGCAAAAGAGCAGATCAAGAAAGTACAGTTAGAAAATCGAAAAACTTATAATTTACGTCGACGCAAACCTACACTGTATAAATTAGGCGACCTAGTGGCGATCAAAAAGACTCAGTTTGGTTCAGGATTAAAGTTAAAGGGAAAATTTGCGGGTCCCTATAAGATAACAAAGGTAAAATTAAATGATACCTACGATGTAGAAAGAGTAGGAGGAAATGCAGGTCTTTTACGTACCATCACCTGCGCTGAATACATGAAATCATGGATTAATTCTAGTTCGTTGTCCGGGTCGGACACCGAGTCGGATGGCCGAGTGTAGGATTCGGAAGGCGCGTTACATTTTTTTTTGTTGCCGCTCAAAAGATTATTATTTAGAATGCGCGTGATTATATTTTGTTTATGAGGCGGACGATGGCGCTGAGTCGAGCGAGCAAGCTAAGCGAGAGCGGTTGTAAGACGCGAGAGAGTTTGCTTCCGAGTGCTAATTTTTTCTGTTAACTTCGTTTCCATTCGTGCATACTTGTATTGCTAATCAACATATATCAAATACATTACTGATTATTATTAATAACGAGATAATCATTAATAGAAACCTATATTAGTGATAAAACTGGGAAAATTTATCCTAAAAGTCACCCAATTTGGACAACTATTTGTAATACATGGAATAATCGCATGAAAGCAGTAAATCTTTATTTTTACGTTGCTCAAAACAGAAATAATGTTTTTAATCTTTATAAAACTTCAAAAAATATTCCAGACAAAAGTTCCAGTTTCATTAAATATAAATCGATTAGTGAGATGTCAATCAATGATTCTGATGAAAAAATTAATTCAGATGAAAAATCTCACAATCAAACTTCAAATTCAAAAACATACAAAACTTTAAATTAAAAAAAATTAAATTTTCAAGTTACTTTAACTGAGGAGCAATGGTTAGCAGTAAAACCAATTTATAAAGTTAATAACAATAATAAAAACTATTATATCTTAAAACCTGGCTGGACACACATTTTGACAGAATTAATTTTCTTTGAAAAAAAATTGCCTTGTGTTTATAGTTTCAAAAATAAAAAAATTATCAATATAGATAATAAAAGTTATCTGATTAAAATATATGGGTTTTGTAGTGAACCATCTTGTCCAGCAACAATTTATTGTAAATGCCCATTTAATTTTGATCAATGTAAAGATATAAAATTCAACATTTGGACGGTAGATGCAAGTGATTGTCCACATTCAAAAAAACGCTTTGTGTCAGGAGTACGTCGTGATATATTCAAAAAAGAATTAGAAAACAAAAAGACCAATCAATTGCGAAATGAACTTGTTACAAACTTTGTTTCATACGGTGAACAATTAGGTCCACTTGTACCAAGTTTTAATGTTCTTAATAAAGTTTGCCAAGAAGATACAAATGAAAAATTAGACATCGCAAACATGAATCTATGGAATTCATTACAGTACTTAAAGACTAATGTAAAGTTCAGTCGAGCAATTAAACAAATTGGATACAACAAATTTTATGTTTGTTATTGGACTCCAGAACAAATTGATATTCATAATGATTTACACAAATTACATCCAATTGTTTCAATTGATGCAACCGGTAGCGTTGTACGTAAAATAATGCGGTCAGAAAAATGTTCTAGTAGTCATATTTTTCTTTATCAAATCGTAACATCTATAAAAAATCTAATTGTTCCAACGTGTTAATTACTATCCGAACGACATTGTTATACTTCACAATTAAGTAATTAAATACAGGATGGGATTTATCTTATAATACGATAACTGCATTTATTAAGCTTCTTTTTCTTTGCTCTCATATACTTGTCCATGCGCTCCCCTCTCCGTCTCTCTCGATATATATCGAGATATCTCGAGCCTTAAGGCGGGAGCACAGACTTTTGCATAACGCATAAGGCATAACGCATAAGAAAATCAACTAATCAGAGTCTTCTATTTCTATCCCCACTCCTCGTTCTGCAGATCTTGCATAATGCATAAAGCATGATGCATAAGGAGTCGAAAAATCCGTAAGGATGAATTTTTATGCGTTATGCAAACGGATACGCGTCTAGATTTGTCCACCATTAATTGTGTTCGCTAATTTCAACCAGTTTCTAACCTCTTCTCTTGTTGACAATACGTGGTAAGTACACTTATCGATTCTACTATATATTCTTAATATAATAATATAATTATATATATATATATATATATATATATATATATATATATATATATATATATATATGTTCAGGATCGGGTCAAAATTTCATAAGTATCGGTTGCAACATTTTGAATAATCCGCAAAAACTTATCTCGCGTGGCAGCACCTCTCGGTAAGCACCGCAAGAGAAAAGAATTGGGCCAATTAGAGTGAGCCACGCGTTACCGTCGCGCCGCTCGCGATCGATAGAAAAATCATTTTTGGAGAAGAAAAGAGAGTCATTGGAAAATGGTCGGCGAGACAAGACGTGCCCTCGGTTCAATCGACTCAAAAGTTTTCGCGTAACTGCATTTTCGCGTTCGCGAACTTTTACGACGAGTGAGAGACCGAAATCTCATGTGGTACTTCTAGTTGTCTCGAGGAATTGAAAGTGATTTCCGGAGTTTCGCTCGCGACATTATCGTCGAAGTGTTCGCGACATACATACCGGCGTTTCTTGGCACGTGTCGAGCACGTGTGATAAGGACGAACATCGAATTTTGAGAAATCCGTTGTTCTCTCGTGTCGTGTGAAGACAAATGCATATTGGGCACTCGCTCCTTTTAAATCGACATCGAATTAAGTAAATCTCGGCCGCGAAGTAATCGCAAGGATTACCGCGCCGAACTAGTGGAAGGTTTCACGCACTTGCCGCGCACGTGATCAGCGAGTGCTTTTCGCGGAGTCCTGCGGCAGGACGGGTGATACCTTTTTCTTGCTAGCGCACGCCTAGCGCTGTCTTGCTCAGATCTTTGTGAGAGCGTACGAGCGAGGTGACAAGTATTTCGATTGTCGCGCTCGCTCTCAACATATAGGCGTTCGATGCATGCGTTGCCGAAATCAAAGTTTGTGAATTGTGTGAAAACCATTTGATGAATAAATAGACAATGTTGAGACAAGTTAGATTTATATAATAAACATTGTGCATTCTCCTCGTGCCAACTCGCGAGTGCAGAATTTGTGTGAGCAATATAAAGGTAATGTAACAGCACGCGGGCTGTACGTACTTATTATATAACAATTGTGAGATAAAGTTGTGCATGAGATGTGCGCGTTCGCGCTAAAGTCTCTGTAACGGTTGTCCTTCAACGGACCTTCAAATATTCTTCTTTGTGTGAGACGCGGATTTACGACCCGCGCAGTCTCTATATTAGATGTTTTCCGTCGCAATGAAGGATAAATTGTATTGACATTGACGATGCGAACTCGCGAGAGAAACACGTTCATAAGATAAGTCGTCCCGAAGCGGGCATTCATCGAGAAAGTGTTTTGTACAGACAATTCCTTTGTCGATCTTCCGGTCGAATCGAACGATGTGTTTCAACAAATTGTGATTCGCATAATAAAGACAGTGGTTGTGACCGTTAAACATTTCAAGTTGTCTCGCCTCTTTCACCTCAGCTCCTTGCTTAATCCATCACTTTCGGCGCACACGCGGGTGCGCTACTATCCTACAAATTTATATACAGTCCACTTGTGATTCCTCTCGCTCCCTACGATTTGCAGTCACCAAAATCGAATTCAAATAAATCTATTGTCAAGTGAGTCGGTGCGCGAGACGCGGCCTAAAAAACCGAGCATGCTCGTTCATCGAAGCTTCGCATCGGACCGGCGTTCTTAGAATCGCGTTCGAAACAATATTAATTATACAAGTGAAAATATTTACATTAACATTGTAATAAATTTGATAGAAGATTTAAAGCGTACAGGTAAGTTTATTAAAATATCTCTCTAATCTTGTAATACATAAATATATATATTATATTATCCTTTCTTTGCAGCGAAATAATCCAAAAATAAGTATGGCTTATGTTGTTGTAGAATTTGATGAAAAACACGGTGGTGGTGTAGCTGCTGTTAACAATGCATGGCTTACACCTTTAAAAAAGGAAGTTTTTTGGCCTCCTTATAAAGATCAAAATAAATTTGATAAAGCTTTGAAAACAGGGGAGACAGTTGATACTGAAAAATGGACACTGTACAGTATTTCGCGTATTTTTACAGAAGTGGTAAATTAGATTTTTCATATTTATTTGTTTATTCTACATATATATGTATTTATTTATTTATTCTA